CGACGAAGTACACTGCTGAGGGGAGCAGCGGGCGGGTCAGGAGAGGTCTGCCACGCCATGTGGTCACCTCCGGGCAGGCGGGATTTGAACTCATACGGAAGTGGCTTTAGCTTCTCAGTGCAGTGCTTTAACCCGCTCCGCCACCAGGGAGGGCCCATGATCTTTTTAATGATAATGGTGGCTGTACAGAAGTCTTATCAGTTTCTCTTGTATACCCACATTGTGATGGCTTAAATTTGCACAGTAATCACCAGGATTGTGAGATAAGAGTTAGTGGGGGGGGACCCTGCTCACCTTGTGCAGACTTTGATCTTATTAACCCCATGAAATAACTAAGTAGTCCAGTAGGCAAATGGGTAGACTCGTTTTACATCTTGAACTATGAAAATATGGAATTATCATTCAAATAAAGCCTCCCACCCCACCCCATTACAAGGGTTGAGCTGAGTGGTATCTTTAAGACAAAAATAAGTGAAATTGGTAAAATTTAAAGGTTGTTCCAATGAAGACAGTAGAACTTGAGAACCCAGAGGCTGGGAAACCCAGAAGCAAGCTGAAGTGAGCTGATCTACTCTTCTGATCTGACCACAGAGATGAATGAAGGAAGTGTGAGTGAGTTCAGTTTCTCTATTCCAGGTCTCTGTATGGACTACTTTTGTTTTCTGAATTACCTTGGGTGAGGGCGTTCTCTCTCATGCATATTTTAAGTTCTGACATTTCTGACATTTCCTTCTTTCCTTCAGGAAGTTGCTATTGTTAAATCATTCTGCTATTCTCTATTGCTTTTTAAATTCAATTGTGGACAGATACTTCGTCAGAGGCAGTAAAATTGAATGATTAGAAAGCTGAAATAAGACAAAACTTGAGTTTTTATTATGGGATTCAACAAACCTATGATTATTCTCTCAAACTACTACTAAGTTTTTGAGTACTTCCTCTTACCTTGTGAGTAGGTAGCAGCTTGCAGTCTGACATGAGCATGCAAACCACAGTTTGAATGGTATTGCTTTATATAGTATTAGTAAAAGCTTGCACATTGTGAGCTATCTTGATGCTCACAGCGATCTTTTCAACTAAAATTTCTTATTAAATTTTTCTTATGTTTAAGCCAGATATTAATTAAGTCTCAGATTTACTGAGATATATTTTCTGGAGTAAAATTTGACTCTTTTTGGTATGCAGTGTAGTGCATTTTAACACTCATGCAGTTATGTAAGCTCCACTGTAATCAAAACACGGAACAGTTCCATCACCCCCAAAATGCGCTTACTTATGTAATCAACTCATGCACCCCCCACTCCTCCAGCCCCTGGTGACCTCTCATCTATTTTCTGTCCCTGTAGTCTCTCGCCTTTTCTAGAATGTCATATACTGTCTTGCTGCACGTATCACAACTTTATTCCTTTTTGCCAAATCATATTCCAATTATATCAATGTAACATAGGCTGCTTTTCCATTTACCTACTCAAGAACATTCTGCTTGTTTCTGGGTTTTGGTAGTTAAGAATGAAACTGCTATAAACATTGCTATATGTGTTTTTGTGTGAACATGTTTTCTCAGTCAAAACTTTGACAGGCAATTCCTCTAGTTACTACTTCCCAATCAGGGAAAATAAAAATATTTAAGTTGGGAGAATGATTTCCATCAGCCTCTCTTCGTGTGGAGTATCCACAGCAGGGTTTAAAGGAGATTTACAGGGGTTGATAGAAAATTTGTTGAAGTGTGGAAGGTCTTTCCAAAGGCAAGTGGATCATTCTTGTAAGACTGGAAATGGAAGGAATATAAATAAATAAATTGGTTTCAAGATAACTATAGTAAACAGTCAGTTCTTAATGTGTACTGAGGCTGACTGGTTAAATCACTCTCAGACCCTGAACAGCATTAAGAGGAAAAAAAACAACTAACTTTTCTCTCTGAGGCTTGTATTCACAGGCGGGTAGCACCACAACCTTGAGCTGAGTTTCAAGACTTAGAAACTAAAAAACACAGAGAAATTCCAGAGGTGAAACAGAATTCCAGAATTCCAGGCTCTGACCTCCTCTCGTGAACAGTCTTTTCTAATTGGTTTGGATGCTTGGAGAGAGCCCTTACTCAGTCCCACGTGTTACTACTTCTATAACATACACATACACATAGATCTTGCTTCTTTTGATCTTTAGTCCCTGTCTGCTGAATTATTTAGTTCTCTTTGTCTCCAAAAGGCTAAAGACATTAAAATATCCAACTAGGCCCTCCCTGGTGGTGCAGCGGGTTAAAGCACAGCACTAAGAAGCTTACGCCACTTCGGCATGAGTTCGATTCCCGCCTGCCCCGGAGGTGACCTACAGGGCACAGCAGACCTCTCCTGACCCGCCCAATGCTCCCCTCAGCAGTGGACTTCGTAGATCTGCCTGTTCTGCTCCCTGCTCTGTCTCTGGTGAATCCTCTCACCCTCCGCATCTCTGGCCTGTACCCCAGTTCTGTATGAATAAATAAATCTTAAAAAAAAAATCCAACTAATTGTAATTCAAGGGTATAAGCAATTGGATTACAACCCTTTGACAACTGTCATATCTCAAAGTAGGCAGGGAAAGATTATAGGATACAGATAGCAGAGGGAGTGGTCACGGGCCTCTTCCTCTTTTTGCTCTGCTCAGCCTTGCACTACTCCTGTTCATTTTTTATTGCTGACAAAACCAGAAAACTATGTAAAGCCAGCTGAAACCAAGAGAGGGAGAAGTGAAGCAAGGGTTAAGTCACAACCTCATTACTCCCGTAAAAATCACAACTACCAGACATGACAGATGTGGTCAAGACCAAATTAGGAAGAAATTAGGAAGAAAAAGGAGCAGTGGATACAATCCTGCAAAACCTTGCCTGTTTCTTGAACTCCTGCAGATGCAGACGCTTCCTACTGCCCCCTGTATGTCCTCTTCTCCCCAGTTCAGGGAGAGTACCTCTGTGACTGTCGTCTGTCATGGCCTCGGGTTTGCCAGTACTGATTAAACCTGATTTCTTCTACCAGCTCTTGGCTTTCCAGTTTGAGTTTATGCTGGGCCAGTAGCCACCTCCTCCCCAAACCAAAAACAAAACCCCTGTAACAAAATTTACAAAATCTATGTTTACATAGGTCTGAAGTGTATGAAATGATGTGAAGGGAGATAAATTCACTATCTAAGTTCCAGGATCTTGTTGGAACAACTGATCTTTGTTTAGTGATTCAGAAATGCGGGGAGAATCTTATCGACAAGTACAGAGGTCTTCTGCACATAATAGGCAAACAAAGGTAGTTGCTATGAAGCAGCTGTGGAGGAACAGAAAATTATTACAATGAATGTCTCATTTGATTGGCATTTTGGAGTAGTAAGACCTTTCACATGCAATCTACACCCTGGCTTTGAGGCTGTTACTCATACTCTTCTTGCTGAGGAGATGCTGACCCATAGTTCATGCCACATCTCCAGGTTCACATAGCTGAAGGATTAGTACAATGTCCCTTCTGTTTGCCCAAGTTACACAATTAAGAAGTTGTGTCTCACCCGGAGGGTAAACTCCAAGCCTCCTACCTGCATCCCCTCAAGGGGAAGATTTTTATTTATGCATACAGAGCTGGGGTACAGGTCAGAGGTGGTAAGAGGATTCACCAGAGACAGAGTGGGCAGCAGAACAGGCTGATGGACGAAGTACACTGCTGATGGGAGCAGCAGCTGGGTCAGGAGAGGTCTGCCGCGCCAAGTGGGTCACCCCTGGGGCCAGGATCGAACTCAAGCTGCAGTGGTTTTAGTTTCCTAGTGCTGCGCTTTAATCCGCTACGCCACCAGGGAGGGCCCCTGCTCAGTGTTTTTAGCAGATCAGCTATGACTTGCCTTGGGCAGATCATACTAAATTGTAGCAAAAAGCATTCTCTCATTTTCCCCTCCTGGCCCTCCTGGATGGCCATTAAACTTTTATGCAAACAACTCCTTAGTCTTTCCTTTCCGTTGTCCTCACTTTTATTAGGTTACAATTAACATGTAACAGTTATTATTTTGTGTGCCTCTTTGTTTTTGCATTGCCTTCAGATTTCACACCTTTGCCTCTTAAAGCAGAACTCCCGCTGACAACACGCCTGCCACCCGGCGGACCTCCTTCTCCGGGGCCCACCGCTGCCCGGCGCCCGGCCCGGGCCCTTCCCCTTCCTGTCTGTGGTCGCAGGCAAGCCAGGCCCGTCCCTCGGCGCCTCCCGGGAGGCCGGCTCGGGCGAGCTCCTCCCTGCGCTGCGCAGAGCGGACACTCCCTGCGCGCCCCGCCGGGCTCGGTGAGGTCCCGACTCCAGCGCGAAGCCTCGCCCGGGACAGCACCCCGCGCCCCACCCACACCCAGTCGGTCCGCGAGCGTCGTCGGGTCGGGGCTAGCCCGGCGGAGCTCGGCCTCAGGGACGCGCCTCGGCTGCCACGCCCCGCGCCTCCGGGACCATGCTGCGCTGGCTGCGGGGCTTCGTGCTGCCCACGGCGGCCTGCCTGGAGGAGGACCCGCGGAAGCGCTACGAGACCCTCTTCCAGAAGCTGGACCTCAATGCCGATGGCGTGGTGGACATCAGGGAGCTGCAGGAGGGGCTCCGGAGCATGGGCATCCCCCTGGGCCAGGACGCCGAGGAGGTGGGTCCCTGCTGGGCGCGGCCGCCGAGCCCGAGGGCCGCGGCAACTGGGGGCTCTGCCAGCATCCAGGGCGGCGGCCCTGGCTGGCTGGAAGAAGGCGGGACTGATGGGTTCGCAAGTTCTGGGAGGTTCGGTCGCGCAACCGGTTACTCCATAATTTCCGTGCTTCAGGATCCGAAAGGCTATGGGTGTTTTTCCACATTAAGTCGGTGCCGAGAATCCCGAGACCCGCTGTCACTGTAAATACTGCAGTACATTAGACGGAGACATCCTCTGCCTTCCGCTTTGGTATTTGCAGACATTGAATGGAGTTTTTCAGCCCTCAGTCTTTGCAAACCCTGAGGTTTTTTTTAGCTTCAGCGGGCCCCTAGTTTTTACAAAAAGAGTTCTCTGTGTTTCTTCGAAGCTCCTTTGTTAACACCAGCTGGTTTTGATGGCTGTTTGAAAGTCAAGCAATATTTCCTCAACTTTATGTTGGAAGAGAGGCCACGTTCCACTGTTGAAGACATTCTTCATGCCCTAAGTACATAGATTGAGTTGCAGGGCTGGTCTGGAACTTCTGAGTCATTTTAATAAAATGTCTCTAAAGTTCAGTCCTCTTAGTAGGGTAGAGATATTTGGAACCTCTCCAACCTTCCCAGGGAAATGTAAGAGGCCACTTTAGCTTTCTCTATCCCTCCAGGGGAAGGGATTAGGCAATGCAAGTGTCAACAACTGTTTATAGTATATTTTAAGCAACTCATTCAGTGTCCTTAGTACTTTCAGGCCCCTTCAGTTACTATTTCTTCTTGAGCCAGATTTTTAGTACATTTCAGTTTTTGAAATTTTTGGTTCTGGGGTTACAGTTTTGCTCTTCCGTGGTGCCGGTTCCACTTACCCTTCGCCTAACCACCAGCGTCAACACCCCCACCTCCTTTAAGTGCGCCCCCCTCCCCCTTCCGCTGGTTGCCATTAAGTTCTTCACTAAGTCCCAGATTTACTCCAGCATTTTGCCTGTATATATTTTTTGTTGTTGCTGTTATTTATATTCCACAGATGCAAGAAACCAACAAACACTGCGCTACTCCAGGATTTAGAATATTCACCTATGACTTTAGTTTTGGCTGTACCCATGGCTTTGCTTTCTATTTCTTTGATGTCTACCCCTTCCACTCCCTCCCCCCCAATCTTCCCCAGGGTTTGTCTATTTTGAAATACATAGTAGTATGAATTCATTTTGTACTATTCATACAATAGTAGCATGAAGTCATACTACTAGTCATATTTTGAAAGAATTTTGGTACTTTTTGCTGATGGTTTTTAATTGTCTTTTTTCTATTTTTTTTTAGGTTTACTTATGTACTCTAATTTCTTGACTCAAACGCTTGTTTCATTAAATTGGAGCCACAGTATTCCCTTAAATCAATTCTTTAACTGTGTTCCACAACTTTGTATTTTTTATTTGGTTTTAAGTAGTCTCTACTATACAATAAGATTTTATCCTTGATCCACAAATTATTTAAACGTGGAGTTTAAATTAGCCAATTCTGCATGCTTTTAGATAGGTTCTTTGAAAATATGAATAAACCTCCAGGGAGCTCTATTAGGAAAAAGAAGGAACAACTAAAGTCACATAAAAAATGCCTTCAGTTTTCCAAAAATTTTATTAGAGAAAATTATAAAATAAATCCTATAAAATTATATGTACACAATACATAGAACAGGATGGTGTTTATCCCTATATTATTTATATATATATACACACAAATGTTTTCATATATACACACACACACATAGTATCACTCAGAAATTATTAACTATTCTCAGCACTTGTATCTTTTTACATGTACAGATGAACTTTTGATTGTATGTTTTTTTTTAAAGATTTATTTATTTATTTGTGCATACAGAACTGGGGTACAGGCCAGAGGCTCAGGGGCAGTGAGAGGCTTCCCCAGAGACAGAGTGGGGAACAGAACAGGCAGATCGTCGAAGTACACTGCTGAGGGGAGCAGCAGGCGGGTCAGGAGAGGTCTGCCAGGCCATGTGGTCACCTCCGGGGCAGGCGGGAATCGTACTCATTCTCAGTGCTGTGCTTTAACCTGCTGCGCCACCAGGGAGGGTCCAGATGAACTTTTAAGAAAATAAGAAAAGTCAAATCAAACCATGGTTAGGGCTTGGATCTCCTTACTAGTAAACTTTGGGGCAGTCTTCTTGATCTCTGTAGCTTGTTTTCTTCAGCTGTACCAGACATACACTAGTACCTGTCTTATAATCGGGGGTTGTTATGATGAGTAAGTCATATTTAATATTTGCATATTAAAATATGTAAAGTACCTAGAAAATTCTCTTGATACCTAATAAATAATTGACTATTAACTTTAATGTCATTAACTACAATTACCACCAGAAGAAGAGTGTCATAATCTCCCTCTGATTGTGTATTTTCCCACTTTAAAACTTTTCAATTTTCTCTTTGAACCTACTACTGGTGTATTCACATTTAGCATTGTTATATCTTACTAGTGAATTGCCCTTTTTACAAAGCTTCATGTTTTCTTGCCTACTTTCATCCCACAATTCCCCCATGTTTTTCTAATGCTTGAATCATTTCACTAATACATTTCCCTGCACCAGGTTTTTTTCCGTCACCACTGAAAATCTTCAACATAGGCGCTCCCGCATTGTGCAAGTCATTATCCGTGCCCCATTTCCACTCAGGGCTCTTGGCCTGCTGGGTGGAAGGTGAGTCAGTCCTTATCTTGTGTCACTCCTGGTCCTGAATTGGTGCTGGTACTCCAAGAGGAGGAAATCAAGATGGAATTGGGTGCGCAAAAGATTTACTGGGGAAAATATCTGTGAAGGATGAGAGAGAGAGAGATTTGGAGTCGGTTGTACCTTACTTATATCAGACTGTGATGCAAGCTGTTGCCTGTAGAAGAGTGCAAGCAGGAAGGTTGATTTAGGAAGAACCTCAGATTGAAGGAGGCTGAAGAGGAGTCACTGAGGAGGTGTCATCTGTTAGGGGAGATCTGTGTCTACTGCCCCGTGCTGGGACCTGAATTGCAGCTAGTCATTGGTTGGTGCCGCCCAGGGCTTGATTGGCCTGGGTGAATTCTACAGGAAGTTCAAAGGTCCAGAGGTGTGGTGGGGAGACTGTCACAATGGGTTCCCTCAGCATCTGCTCTGGCAGCATAGACCAGTCCTTGTGGCATAGAGAATCGCTCTTTTGCCTCAGTTTCGGGTGTGCTGCCGCACTGTTCTCAGCCTCTGTTTCCCAGGTGATCAGTCTGCATGGTGTCTGTTGGTCACAATTAGTTTTATTCACTTTCTTTCACTCACTCAGTTATGATGTTTGCAGGTTTTTATCACTTAACCTGGTGTTGTAAACCAAACCTTTAATCCAATTCTGGAGAGTCTGAACTTCTCAGGTCAGTGTTATCACCGGTGCCCACTCACAGTAAAAGATGGACAAGGGAGTATCAGGCGTTGCCCATGTTACACAATTAAGAAGTTGTGTCTCACCAGAGGATAAACTCCAAGCCTCCTAACTACATCCCCTTGAGGGAAGGTTCTGAAGTTTTTCTGATCAGTGTTTTTTTTAAAGATTTTTATTTATGCATATAGAGCTGGGGTATAGGCCTGAGGTGTAGGAGCGGTAAGAGGATTCACCAGAGACAGAGTGGGGAGCAGAACAGGCAGATGGACGAAGTACACTGCTGAGGGGAGCAGCGGGCGGGTCAGGAGAGGTCTGCCGTGCCATGTGGGTCACCTCTGGGGCAGGGATCTAACTCATGCTGCAGTGACTTTAGTTTCCTAGTGCTGTGCTTTTAATAAACGCTGAGCCACCAGGGAGGGCCCCTGATCAGTGTTTTTAGCAATCAGTCCTATGACTTGCTTTGGGCAGATCATACTAATTTGTAGCAAAAAGCATTCTCTCATTTTCTCCTGGTCCTCCTGGATGGCCATTAAACTGTTATGCAAACAACTCCTAAGTCTTTCCTTTCAGTTTTCCCTCACTTTTATTGGGATATAATTGACATGTAACCGTTATTATTTTGTGTGCCTCTTTGTTTTTGCATTGCCTTCAGATTTAACACCTTTGCTTCTTAAAGCAGAACTCCATGCACATCCCTTCGTCTCCATGGAGTAGAAGCAGCCCTGACGTTGCTGATTAGGATGAATTTATACCTACTAAGTTGATGGCTTCTTTTTTTGCCTCTTGGTTCCTGACCAAGGAGTTTGAAATGTCCAGGGGGAAGCTGTGGTCTGTAGAGTACTGTGGAACCTGTCCTGTGTTTCCTGGCAGGAATAGATCGTGTTTGGGAACCAGAGATATAGGCAGCTTATGCTTTTGGAAGATTATTCTAGGTGGCTATGTGGGAAATAGATGGAGAAAGGTGGCTGTGTGGGAAATAGTTGGAGAAAGAGAGGGCATTGGAATTGTAGCCAGTCAAATATTTGGAAGTACCTGGTCAATCTTCATGGGAGAAATTCCATAGGCATATAGTGCAAGGGTTTGTGTAATGTCAAGGATTGGGGAAGTGAGTGACTTGAGGATCTTGAAATAAGAATGATGAGGTTTAAGGGACAGTTTCATGATAATGATTTCTATCTGAGACAAAGGCAGATAGAAATTTTCAAATTGAAATAAAATCTCTGTTTCAACTGATTTTATCTGTTCTTCTTGTTTCCAAGCTTTTGTAATGAACTCAGCATTTAGAAGATGGCAGATTTCTGTTTAAGTTCCTTCTGCACTTAGGTAGATAGTTTTTGGATAGAAGAATAGTATGTGGAAATAGGAATAAAGTATATAAAATGTTTTAGAATACATAGCATTTGTGACTGGATTAAAAAGGTGTGGTACATATACACTGTGGAATATTACTCAGCAATCAAAAAGATAAAGTCGTGCCTTTTGCTGCGACATGGATGGAGCTGGAAGGGATCATGCTTAGTGAAATAAGTGGAGCATAAGGGATCAGGAAAGAAAAATAAAAAGCAGTTGTAACAAAGAAAAAAATGAAAAAGAGCAACTAGAAACCAGAGACATTTTATGGGGGTGGAGAGGAGATTGGGAGCGGGGTGGGAAGAGTACATGGGACTCTGGTGATGGCACACAGGTGAATGGATGGTGGGAAGTCCACAGGGATTACGAGATGATAAAATGCACAAAATGAAGGATGATCTAAAAAATAAGTGAATAAAAATAAAGTTATGAAAAATAAAATATAATTTCAGTTAAAAAAATAGCATTTGTAATTTTCTCTGACATTCAAAAATCTGATGTTTTTCTCTTTTTATTTCTGAAAGAAGGAAAAAAAGGGAAAAATGCTGTCAGAATAAAACATCCTCTCCATCTTGGTTATCAGTCTCCCTTTTAGACTTTTCTTAAACCCCAATATTCTTTATCTGTGGTTGGGTTACAATTATGTACCCCTTTATTTTTCTTTGTTTGGCACTGTCTTCATTTCCCTGTTTTTGCCTGGTGAGTTGTTATTCACTATTTAAGGGCTTAGCTCACATTTATGATCTTTCTCTAGCCCAGTTGGAATTAACTTTATCAACATTCCAATGAGGAAATTTAGAAACAAACTTTGACAAGAAGTCATTCTGTAGGGTGCTATTTTACTGCTTTGACCAGTGAATTTATAAGGATCACAAGAAGTCCATCGACATACCTCTATTTGCTAGAAATCATTAAAAAACAGAAAAAAATAAACTTGAGAAAGTTTGAGGCCATGATCTGAATCGTGGACCATCGTTTCTATGATGTTAACTTGGGCAACATACGTGTAGTGACTATTACTGTGGACTGTGGAATTAGGCCAGTGTTCAGATGGTTTTATCTGACCTTGGAGAAGTTATTTAATGCCAGGAAACCTCAAAAGTAGGCTAGAAGTGGCAAGAACTACTCAATACTTAACATAAATATAATTTCATTCAGTTGATGTTTTGTGTACCGCCAGGCACTGCTCAATGAGCTGGGTATAGAGCAGTGAAGTAGACAAAGCCCTTTGAACGCTGTCCCCCAAACTTTCCCTTGAGGAGGTCTCTCTGTGTTGGATGATAAATAATAAGAAAACAATGACCAGGGTATTTTCAAAAAGTAAAACAATTCAACAAAAAACTTACTTTTAAGTAGATGAGACTAGCCAACTGCATGTTTTGTTTTCTCCTAGATCTGTGATAATGCTGTCAGTCTGTTAGCTTGGCCGCGGTGACATGTGTCTTTTCAAGTTGGTCCTATGAGCATTTGTGCCCTGTCTGTCTTCTATGACTCTTGGCCACGAGTTGCATCCTTTATAGCACACAGGGAGAGAACATTTCCCGTGCTTTGTAAAAATCCCCTCTTGTGGGAGAATTCATTGTTTGTTTGTTTATTTTTTTGGTGGGGGTGAAAATGCTCACTATATTGATGGAGATGGCATTTACATGGTTATAAACATTTGTCAAAACTTAATGATACATTGAAAATATATACCTCTTACTGTATGTAAACATCTCAACTTTTAGAAATAAGAATGTTGGGAGTTTTTCTAAAAAGACAGCTTTTCCTATGAGGCTAACATTTTGAGAAAGAGGTGGGGTATTTGAAATTCACAAACATACTTCTCTAGACAAAGCAAGGATACATCTCACTGCTATAGAAATTTATATTTTGGTATTCATTTAGAGAAGTCATTCTTTCTTGGCCCACAGCACATCTTGTGAAACAGCATTAGACATCTCTACTACCCATCAGCTCTGGGGGGAAATGTTTATTGCGAAGTCAACAGTAAAAACCCAGAATTCACCAAGGTACAGCCTCCTCCTAACAGGAACCCCATGAGAATGTCAAGGACACGTGGTGGTTTTCTTTATGTTGTATTACTTGACATCACTGTAGTGGCCTGCCATTAGAAGGTACAATGTTCCCTGAATAGCGTGACTCGAAAATCAGTAGTGTGTTGTCATCTTAATAGGCAGAAAGTTTATATTTTGTGAGAGTGGGAGAGAGCTTATGTGTTTATATCAAAACTCTCAATGTTTATTTTTACCTCAAAAGCAGTGACATCCATTATTAGTGATAGTTTGATGTTAGATGTTTAGAAATCACTAAAAGATCCACGCAGCCAAGGAAATGATGATGTCACACTGTCTCAGCCAGAAAGGTTTATTGGACTGAAATCAAGGCAGGTTCTGCAGCTCGAGAGAGAGTCTGACAGACTCTGCACCCTGGAGGAGATTGGGGCAAGATTTATAGGGCTGAAGTTGAGCTAAGTGTGTGGGTAGGTAGGTGTAAAAATTCTTTAGTCGGCAAGCAGGATGTGGTTTAGCTTGAGCTAACTGGGGCCTGATGAGTTCAGGCACTGTCGAGCTGCAGGCAGTTAGTGAAAACTGCAGGTAGCGGGTTTCTGGGTCTGAGGAGGACTCGTCCCAGCCTTACATTTGATGAAATTAAACATCATTTTCAAAAAAGGATAATTTTGAAAGTCCAAGGGGAAAAAATACTATTTAAATATTTGTTGTCTGTGTATTTATAAAATACATGTCAAGAATTTAGGGTGCGATTACAGTAGTAAAAAATGTCATGTTTCATAGAAATCAATGCACCATTTGTCTAAGAAAAAGTTAATGCAAGATGTGGATTTTTTTTTGCAGGGGCATAGTGACTTTTATTACTGATATTTACCATACTGAATAATGATATAATTGATTTGAGATCAGTATTTTATTTTTTTTAAAGATTTATTTATTTATGCATAGAAGAAGTGGGGTATATTTATAAAAGACATATCAATAATTTAGGGTGAGATCAGATATAGGCTAGAGGTGCAGTGGGTGAGAGGATTCACCAGAGACAGAGTGGGGAGCAGAACAGGCGGAATGATTGAAAGACACTGCTGAGGGGAGCAGCGGGGCAGACAGGACAGGTCTGCCGTGTCACTGGGTCACCTCCCTGGCTGGAGATGGAATTTGGGCTGCAGTGGCTGTGACAGCTTCTTCGTTCTGTCCTTCAACCCCTGCGCCACCAGGGAGGGTCTTGTTACTTTATTTTTACAGGAAAACAGTCAGTCTATTTGAAGGTCATGTGCAAATAATGTAGTGTTTTAGTTCATAAAAGTATCTAATACTTAAATTTCTTTTTTATAATAATTTATTTTCTTGCATTGTTCTTTCTTTTTTTTTATAGAAAATTTTCACTACTGGTGATAGCAACAAAGACGGGAGGCTGGATTTTGAAGAGTTTATGAAGTACCTGAAAGACCATGAGAAAAAAATGAAATTGGCATTTAAGACTTTGGACAAAAATAATGATGGTACGCTTTTCTTTTCTGTCTATCACCAGCTTTGAGGAAGCATTTCTCATGCTTCCAAGAGTGAATGCATAGTTAGTCTTTAAAAAAAAAAAGATATCGAGTCTCCTGACCCGCCCGCTGCTCCCCTCAGCAGTGTACTTCGTCAATCTGCCTGTTCTGCTCCCCACTCTGTCTCTGGTGAAGCCTCTCACCGTCCCTGAGCCTCTGGCCTGTACCCCAGTTCTGTATGAATAAATAAATAAATCTTTAAAAAAAAAAAAAAAAAGATAATTATGCCATTGAGGGAGGCATATTATGCTAGGAGGGAGTGGGCCCCCGGTGCCTCAGGCTCCTATATCACAGGAATACGAGCTGGGAGCTACCTGCCCTCTGTGTACGCCTGGCCTCTGGGAGCAGAAGGCGATGGCAGGGGATAGGGTCAGGGAGCTGTTGCTCCTAAGCTGGAAAAAGGCTCTTGAAACACACCGCTCAAGTGAGAAGAGGACCCCGCACAGACACTGGTGAGGGTAGGCAAGGAGTGAGCATTTGTTCATTAGCTAAAGAGACAAGAAGGAGAATCTGGGCAGGAGAGACTCTGGGGTGTCAGGGCTAGGGGTTTATATAGGTTCTTTTTTTTTTTTTAATTTATTTTTGCATAGAAGAATTGGGGTACAGGCCAGAAGTGTGGGGGGTGAGAGGATTCACTAGAGACAGAGCAGGGAGCAGAACAGGCAGGTTCATAAAATACACTGCTGAGGGGAGCCGTGGCAGACAGGAGAGGTCTGTTGCACCATGTGGGTCTGCTCCCTGGCTGGGGATTGAACTCAGGCTACAGTGGTGATAGTCCTGAGACTTAACCCCTCGGCCACCAGGAAGATGCTGTATAGGTTATTGGAACAGAACAGGGGTTTGAGAACCAAGGAGTTAAAAACTGAGAAAGTGAGGAGAGTGGACCTGGCTGACGTCCATTTGTGCCTGTTGTGAACACCCGCCAGCTGCCGCTCAGGGTGGTATGGGCTGGTGACCATCTCCAAGGCGAATGTCTCATGAGGCTGTGTGCCTGCAGCCTGATGTGCTCACCAGATCTGGGACATTTTTCATCAGGGTCTATAAATCCCCATTTTTTGCACCCCCCAGAACCAGCCAGCTAGGCTGTTCCACCTTGAATCCTCTAGATTTTAGTTGCACGAGCCAGGCAGGATGCTGGAGGTGAAGCCACCTCAGATTCATTTGCCAGATAAGTAGAGCTTGATCCTCCCACTACTAAGCTGAGCACACATCCGTTGTCTATTTCAGAAAATTCTGAATGAACCAGAGGAAATGCGTAAAGATGAAATTTTTTTTTCTATTGAATACTCATACTTTTATTTTTTTTAAAGTTTTTAAATAATAGTTTATTTTTACATCATTTTGTGCCTTTTTCCATCTCAGTTGTAAGCCCTGTGGGCTTCCCATCACCAAAATCACCCATATGCCATAACCATGGTCCAGTGCACTTCCCCCCTACCCATTTTTGATCCCATCCCCTATTCCACCCCCGTAAAATATCTCTGGTGTGTAGTTGTTTATTCATTATTATTTTCTCCCCTGGCCCTTTAATGCCCCTGGTATTTTTCTTTTTCTTTCTGGCTTACTTCATTAAGCATGGTCCCTTCCAGCTCAACCATGTTGCTGCACAAGGATGTGTTTAATTATCTTTTTTGATTGCTGAGTAATATTCCATTGTGTATATGTATCACATCCTTTTAATCCAGTCATCCACTTTTGGGCACTTGGGTTGATTCCATGTCAAGACAAAATTTTAACAATGCTTTTGTAGTAAATGGAAATAATTTTCCCATTATTTACCTTGTTTGCATATCTTAAAATAATTTCTCATGTTAGGTTCTCATTTTTATCAGACTTCCTTAAAAGAAACAATTTCAGTCTGTCATTATTTGTGGATTCTGTATTTGAAAATTATTTACTTGTAAAACATTTAACCCCCAAATTGACCTCCAAATCAATAGTTGCAATGCTTTCATATTTGTCAGGGACTTGGGTGGAAAAGCTGAACTCTCAGCAGTCTGATTGCTGTTAACTTAGACAGTCCAAGGTGACACTCGGCTTTCCTATTTTAGCTCTTTCACTATTAACAAGGGTCTTTCTATAGGCTGCTTGTTTCCTGTGCCACAATTCGATGTTTTTGTCCTTTTTTTTTTCAATGGTGATTTGGCTGTTTAAAATTATTCCTAAGCATAGTCTGAAGTGCTGGCCGACATATCTAGCTAAGCCTCATTCAGACTTGAGTTTCAGCGTTCTTGGTCATGGCTTCAATGTTGATGTATCAGCCGCAGAAAGTGTCTTAATACAGAAGCACCCATGAAACAAGGCGATGCACTGATAGGTTAATGACAGTGTGTGACCAGGCTCACAGGAACCTAACCCTGTATTTCCCCTGGGAACAATGATTCATTTTTTGCTAATTTAATATTCACAGCGACCTAATAGAAAATAGCTCCTGTGACTAATGAAGATCCACTCTATGTCTCATTTAAGAGTGCAGTTATACAGGGTACTGTGGTATTTAAGGAATTTCATTGTTAACAATAGATGGATGCCTCTAACTGGCCTTACTTTGTCTACATTCTCCTGCTTGTTAAGTTAAAAAGCCCCAGCTCACAATAGGTTGTTGGCAATGATAGTATTTGATGTTTGACAATTTAAATAAAAACAAACCCTCAAATTACAGAGTTCTCACAAAAGACTATTTTTTGATCCTCTGTTAAACTCTAAGACAGTAACTATCAAACAAAAGTTGGAAGCTAAAATATCGGGGCAAAGTAACAAATAGATTTATGATCTTTTTTTCCCTTGCAATGGCTCAGACATTTCTTAATGTTCTGTTATAGCATTTAGATGTGGTGTTGAAATAAACTCCTCAAGCAAATGTCTCCAAATGCTGTCACTTCTTTTAAGTCTTGTTCGTAACTTTCGCTAATCAATTATGTTCTCTGTCCAGATAGCTGACCATTCTTGCTCTTTATGTTTCTTGCTCAATTTCTCAAAAGAATAATCCACACCCTGTGTCTTGAGTATTTTTCCTGTAACCTTTTAACCCAGTACAATACTGGGTTATTAGATGTATAAATTAATAGATTTAATTAAAAATTAATATATCCTAGTTTAGTTGAATTTGCCTCAATGCCAGAGTATGTTGATTTGAATATCAGTTCTGGTGCTTATTAATGTTGTTATTTGGTAAGGCCGTGTAGGCTTCCAGGGTTGTCTTTTGATGGGATAATAGGCTGTTATGATTTTGGATTAAGTAATGTTTGTGTACTTGCTTAATGTGTTAAATTTTGAGTTGGTGGTGTGTTTTTAAGCAAATTTTAACTGACCTAAATTAAAGTCATAATTTTGCCTTCATCAAAGGCAAAAAAATCAACAATTTGAAATTCATGATTTCAAGGTCCTAAAAAGTTCTGAATCTCTTTATTCCCTCTCAATTTAAAGGAAAAATCGAAGCTTCAGAAATTGTCGAGTCTCTGAAGTTACTTGGCCTCACTATTTCTGAACAGCAAGCTGAGTTGATTCTTCAAAGGTAAGCCCTTTCACTCACAGTTGTTTTTTAACTTTCATTTTAATATCCTGCATTAGAGATGGACGTTTGTAAGTGTGGCTTAACACAACCGTCTACACCCCGCCCTTCCTCATTGCAAACACTGAGTGTTTTTCTTCCCGTTTTCTTCTTTAAAAATTTATTTATGCATAGAAGAACTGGGGTGTAGGCCAGAGGTACGGGGGTGGGTGAGAGGATTCAACAGAGACAGAGTGGAGAGCAGAACAGATGAATTGACTGAAACACACTGCCAAGGGGAGCAATGGGCCATGTAGGAGAGGTCTGCTGTGCCATGTGGGTCACTTCCCTGGCCAGGGATTGTACTCATGTCTCAGTGACTGGCAATAGTTTGATAGTACTGAGACTCAATGCTGCTTTACCAGGGAGGCCCCTTTTACTTATTTTAAAATCAGGCCTTTACTGACTTATGCTTTATCTCAGATTGTAGAGCAGTAATCTCTGAAGTCTAAGTGCCCTTGAAGACTTCTTTTTTACAAACACACCATAGTGAGTAATTTTTTTTTAATAAAAATATTAAAAGGTGGTCACATTATATTAATGTGTTGTCTTCAGTAGTGAAAGTTTCTAAATGGCTTCACTGTTGAATTAAACTCATTTTATATCTGCATCAGTAATTTTTTTTCTATTCAGAAGTTATACACAGTAAAATTTTAAGATGAACCACTCAAAGCATAGAAATTAGTATGTAAATTCCAAACCAGGCCCTCCCTGGTGGCGCAGTGGGTTAAAGCACAGCGCTAAGAAGATAAAGCCACTTCCGCATGAGTTCCATCCTCGCCTGCCCCACTGAGGTGACCCACATGGCGCAGCAGACCTCTTCTGACCCGCCCACTGCTCCCCTCAGCGGTGCACTTCCTCGATCTGCCTGTTCTGCTCCCCACTCTGTCTCTGGTGAAGCCTCTCACCGCCCCTGTACCTCTGGCCTGTACCCCAGTTCTGTATGCATAAGTAAATAAATCTTTAAAAAAAATAAATTTTATACTAGGAAGGAAAGAAATGGAAATAAGCCAGAAAGAAAAGGAAAAATACCAAATGGTTTCTCTCATAGCAGGAATATAACAGAACAGGTGAGAAAATAATGATAATATGAACAGCTCTATACCAGAGACATTTTGTGGGGGTGGAGCAGGGAATGGGATCAAAAACAGTGGAGGGGAGAGAAAAACACCGGACTATGGTGATGGCACATGGGTGATTTGGTGATGGGAAACCCAAGGGGCTTGCAACTGAGATGAAAAAATGCACAAAAATATAAAAATATGTAAAAATAAACTATTATAAAATTAAAACAAAAACAAACATCTATCAAAGGGAAAAAAATGGAATAGAAGAATAATGAAGCTTGAAGTCAGACAATCCAAGGATGGAAAAAAAAATCATAGAAAGAAAGAGATAAATAGGAAGCTAAAGGTAAAATGGGAGAAATAAATTCAAAAGCAATGAAATCCCATCAAAATGTGCCCTGCAATGATATTAGGTCCTATTTCCCTTCATCTCCATCAGTTTTTTTTAGTAAGTCTCCATAATTTTCTTACATTAGAGAGAAATGGAGAAGGTAGCATAATTTGAGTTTATTTCAACACCACATATAAATGCTATAACATTAGGAAACGTCTGAGCCATTGCAAGAAAAAAAAGATCATACGTCCATTTGTTACTTCACCCCAATATTTTAGCTTCCAACTTTTGAGTTTGATAGTTACTGTCTTAGACTTTAACAGAGGACAACTCTGTAATTTGGGGTTTGTTTTTATTTAAATGGTCACAACATCAAACACTGTCATTTCCAACAACCTATTGTGAACTGGGGCTTTTTAACAAGAATATAAAGTTGGAAAAACAAGTGTTAATTTTGGGAAATAAGTAATGTTAGTTTTATTTACGCATTTTGTTTTGTTCTTAAATGAACTTCTTTTTGTTCCTAGCATTGATGCTGATGGAACAATGACAGTGGACTGGGATGAATGGAGAGACTACTTCCTATTTAACCCTGCTACAGACATTGAGGGAATTATCTATTTCTGGAAACATTCTACTGTAAGTGTTCTTTAGGTATTAATTTTTAAAAATACTTATTTATTTGTGCATACAGAAATAGGGTACAGGCCAGAGGTGCAGGGGTGGTGAGATGATTCGTGAGAGTGGGGAGCAGAACAGGTCGACTGACAAAGCACACTGCTGAGGGGAGCAGTGGGCGGTCAAGAGAGGTCTGCCACGCCATGTGGTCACCTCCGGGGTAGGTGGGGATCGAACTCATGCTGAAATAGCTTTAGCTTCTCAGTGCTGTGCTTCAACCCACTGTGCCACCAGGGAGGGCCCAGGTATTAATTTATACTTATTGGTAGTGGAAAAACCATAGGTACAGTTATGAGAGCATAACTTTTATTACTCAGGCTGTCTGAGTACCAGTTATTCCTTAGCTTACAGATTCTGTATATATGAAAGTGTCTTAAAACCCCAACTACAGAAACGTTGCAGTTGTAATAGCTTTTTGATGTTCTTAAAACTTGGAAGGGGCACTACTTTTTAGTTGTAGATAAACTACCCACCTTTGGTTGGCATTAGGTATTCTGCCATGCCAACATAGAAAAACGATAAGCTTTCTTTTTTTTTAATAGATACTCTCGTGCCTGAATAATCTTACCACCTCATGGTTTCTGAGGATCTATTTCTTTGGTCTGTAATGATGGCCAAAAATCCCTTCTCAAACTTTTGCTTCTTTAGTCAACTGCCTAGATTTATTTCTGGTATAACACTCAAAGTAATAATTATGTGGGCTAAAAAATCTTGGTTCATCTGCTCAGCATTTCACACCTGTCTGTATCCCTTACTAGTTTCAAATTTTAATTAATTAAATTTCATTAATATTCTGCTAAAACACAGTGGTGTACATGAAGTTCAAGTTATTGTGCAGTCTGTTCCTGAAACCAACAGGCGTTTTGTTCTAATGGGCTTATTTTTTCTACTTATTCAAGAATTCCAGTAAATTTTGCATATGATAAATGAAGCCTACAGTTCATGTTGCTACTGTTACAGGGCATGGAGAGAGGGGCACCCCTTAACTCTCAAACCTGCCTGCTCTAAATAGGTTCTGCCATCCGCTGCATTGATACAAGACATAAGAGCTTTAATGAAAAGGAACTTTAGTACAGTCCGTATACAACACAGAAGACAAAGAATATAATTTCTATATCAAACACCTGAAGTGACCTATCCCCTCATGGGTAAAAGTCAACCCAAAAGGGATTGGTCCAAAGCAAGGCCTGAAAGCCTGACACAAAACTAAAGCATCTTCTGGCCGGGACCCATAGAAAAGGGTCAGAACTGGCCAGACAAGTCTGGGAGGAAAAGAGCAAAATCAAAATCAATTCAAATGCTGCCATAGCCCCAACGGGCCTCTCACCCACATCCCTTTCAGTCAGTCTAGGACCAGGAAGCAAGCCCAGTTTCTTCATGTCTCCCTCTTCTCCATGTGGCTTCCTCAGGTCTCCTTCTGGCTCTCCATCCTGCTTCCTCCTTCTTCAGACTCCTCATCTTCTCAGCTCAGCTCCACCCTTCCTCTGGGTGGGGCAGGGAACCTGAAACTTCCCCTATTCCTGGGGACGCCCCTGTTACACTACTAGCAAAATGCCTCAACTTACATAGAGCATTATAAGATTGTTGAGATTAGTGTCTTTTCAACTATCAGTGTGAAATAACACTACAACAGAAGGAATACCGCTGGCCCTCCCTGGTGGTGTAACAGGTTGGAGCGTTGCACTGTGAATCATACCAAGCTGTGGCTGCTTCAGTGCAAGTTCGATCCCCAGCCCTGGAGGTGACCCACATGGCGCCTCATACCTCTCCTGATCGGTCCCCTGCTCTGCTCTGCAGTGTGCTTTGTTGTTCTGCCTGTTCTGCTCCCCACTGTTGCTGGTGAACCCTCTCACCACCCCTGCACCTCTGGCCTGTACCTCATTTCTTTGTGCATAAATAAACAAAATCTTAAAAAAAATAAGTAATGTCGCCTAGGTAAATTTCATCCATGTGAAACTGTTTACAAAATCAAATTCTTACTGTATCTTTGGGTCTAGCTGGCTAACAGTTTAGGCTTACAGACATGTATCTATTTTATGATAGTGAGATGGAGAGAGGGTTACTACCATAAAGTAGCTATTTATTCTTGCATACTGTAAGGAAAATGAGTAAATCAGGCTGTTTTTCACCTTCCACACAAGGGAGAGCCCTACCTTGAAATGCTGTTTTCCACCATTCAGACCAGTAACAAACAACTGGGCCTTGCATTTGCAACAATGTATCAGCTCTGTGGCTGTGGTCACTTAACAGTGGAAAGGGGGCCAGGCAGGGATTCCAGGGGTGCTCTCAGTGCACCAATCGCTAGTGTTCTGTCTGTTGCCTGTGTGTTTGGGGCGGGGTTTCAGTGCTAAGGGACTGCAAAACCCACTGAAGGCTCCAGTTTTCATTTTTCGTCTGCAAGCACTGAATGAGCCTGCCTGGCATGGTTGCACTCCAAGTGGTGTAGACAGCAGGGCAGTTCGACTGGGACGGATATGGAGCCCCTGAGGCCACAGGGGCGATTGAGGGGTGGCTAGCCCTCAGTCCTTGTCCAGTGGCTAGCCACGTCCTTGTCCAGTGGGCGCCTCCCCAGGAATGGCCAGAGGTAGATGGGACTCCTGTGGCAGCTGGAAAGGACCCTGCGCAGGATAGAAGGGGAGCCTGGGCAGTTACAGTGCCCCTGAGGCAGCAGGAACTGTGGGCTGGGTGTTTTTCTCACACTCTGCGTGAGTGTGTGTGGAGAGAAGAAACCGGGGCCTGGTGACTGCTGGATGACTCACAGGCCCTGCAAAAACAGCTGAGATTTCTGGAGAAAGAGCTCCAGAGAGACCACCCCACCACCCCAGAGACACCAGACTCCTCCAGAGGAGAGAAGGCTGGCCCCAAGCTCCACGCTCGCCCGGTGGTGACAGAGGATGAAGCACCCGCAGCCCGTGGCACCAGGGGTCAGGCTGCAGGCTCAGCACAGAGGACAGAGTCCACCACCTGTGGCCCAGACACCCAAGCAGGACTGGCAGACTTGGGTGAACAGTTCCACCAGAAACCAGGAGAGCCCCTGGCAGCCTGGCAGCAATGCTTGTGGGACCTAGGAGTGGATGGAATTACTTGCACAGCACGAAGGATGGAGAAACCGGCCCCAGTGGGCCACGCACCCGCCCTTGAGGCAGCGGGCTGCTGCGCAGTCGGAGTTGTGGCCAGGGTGACCACACTCCGTGGGGATGTTTAGAGGCTGCTGTGCACACGGCGTGGGCCGATGCAGGAGATGTGCCGGAGACTGTGAGTAAATGGCAAACACACACTGAGTTCCTGCAGGTACTTGTGAACTGGGAGTGCAGCAAGTTTCCTGTACAGAGCATGGCCCTGATAAGGAGTGTTTTACAGCCTGGATGAGGGATTCCATATTGCACAATGTCCCTTCACCCTCATTTGGGCCCCTCCTGGTGCTTCTGGCACCCTCTGAGGATGCCAAGTAAATGGCGTCACCACAGTGGTAGCCAGTTTGGGTGAAGCTGAGAGCCGGAGCTCAGAATGGGATACAGATAGCTGTCCGGCAACAAAATAGGATGCTAAGGAAGGCGAACAAGACTCTTAAGGTCAGTAAGCCTTTTAAAGTCACACTGCCCAAATACAGATCTTCTGGGAGTAGGGGTAGAGGGTGAAATAGATGCACAGGCCAGCGCTTCTCTGTTGGCGTTTTGGAGACAATTGGGAGAGACCAGCAGTTCACTCCCATAAGAAGGAAAAGCAGGTGACTGCAGGTCCCAGGCATGTGCTCTGCACCCGGAGGTCCATCTGCTGTAGACCAACCCCAAGGAGGCCCTGTTCACTTGCCAGTAGGACGAGGACCAGGGGATGATGGGGTCCCCCCTTAGGGGATGGTGGATGGGAGCCCACATCCCCTATTGCTATTCATGGTTAACAACCAATGTGCAAAGGGTTCTGGCCTTAGAGATGAGGGCAGAGTTCTGTGTTAATGTGGAAACCCAGAGAAGTTTCAGGGGTGGGCTTGTTACATTGGGGGCTTGTTAGAAGGTGGCAGTGGACACTCACTGTGCTTTGACACGGATACCTGCAAAGCCCTGCTCTGTGCCATGAGCTGGTGGCGGCTCACTGGGCCCTGTGGGAGAGGCCATTCTTGGCATCCTTGGTGATGACCTTTATGGACCAGACTCTTGCAGCTTTGGAAAAGACTGTAGCTCTACATGTGGACTGAGCTTAGATGCATTGTTACAGTTTATACTGCCTTTTGCAAGGTATGGGCACAGTAGCCTACTCTTGAGAAAATTGATGTGTAGATTGTATTGAAAACAAAAACAAAAACCCCTGATGAGGTGGAGTATAAGAACAGGCCATTTTTCACCTTCCAGTTAACAGACAACAGATACCTTGAAATTCTGTTTTCCACCATCATACATCTGGTAAACAACAGATTGCCAGTTCCGTTTGCAATGTTGTATCTATCAGTTTTGTGGCTCTGGGCTCTTAACAGGTTACTGGGGTCTAGGCAGGGGAGTTGTTCTGTCTCTCAGTGTTGCCTGCCTCCTGTGTATAGGGCCCTTTGTTTAGCCATGAAAGGCCCAGAAGGCCCCAAGTTCTCCTTTGGCTGTGACAGTGAATCTACCCAGCCTGGGACGGTTACACAACGCACACCTATAAAATCTTTTGTACCAGAATCATCTATAACAAAATATTTTCATTAAAGAACTTCATTTACTTTGCCCTATTTGTAATGATCATAGTAGGTTGGGGTACATGTTGCTTTAAACTGTATCTCCCTGTAAATTTTGCACCCATCACATGTTTAAATAACACTTATAAAAATATTTATAGATGCCTATATAGGAGAAAAGTTTTGGGTATATACACCATAGCTATCATTTAGCATTTATTTACATATTTAAAATATCACGATAGTTAGTTTATATGATTTGAGATAAGGGAATATTTAAGGATTGACAAGCCAATTTTTTTTTCCCTGTAGCTTAAAAAAAAAAAAAGGATTCACTACGTCTGATAAAATGCTGCTCTTTTATTCTGATACCAAAAGGAGAAAAGCAACTCTGAATCTACTAGGAAAAAAGTTGTAATTGTTGCTTCTGTAAATTGTAATTACTGTTGGTTTTCATTGCTTGTGAAATGATACTATATTTTATCTGGTGTGAATAGGCTACTTATCATTTATATGCTCAGATTGGTTCAGTATACTTTTAAAAAAAGATTTATTTATGCATACAGAACTAGGGTAGAGGCCAGAGGTGCAGGGGCAGCGAGAGGCTTCACTAGAGACAGAGTGGGGAGCAGAACAGGCAGACTGACGAAGTGCACTGTAGAGGGGAGCAGCGGGGAGCGAGAGAGGTCTGCTGCCTCATATGGGTCACGTCTCTGGCTGGGGATCGAACTTGCATTGAAGCGGCCGCTGCTGGCTTGCAGCGCTGTGTCCTGTCCCCTTGCGCCACCAGAGAGGGCCAGTTCAGTATACTAATTAAGAAACCACATCGTTTTGAACCAGAAGAACCTCCCCCCCCCCACACCCTTCTCTAAAATAAGCAAACATTTCTTCTTGAGTGACCTGATTTTAATTGATGAAGCATGGGAATCTCTTTTCCATTTCACAGGGTCTTGACATAGGAGATAGTTTAGCTATTCCGGATGAATTCACTGAAGATGAAAAGAAGTCGGGTCAGTGGTGGAGGCAGCTTTTGGCGGGAGCCATTGCTGGTGCCGTCTCTCGAACAAACACTGCACCTTTGGACCGTCTGAAAGTCATGATGCAGGTGAACTTGCCTTGTGTCTAAATTTGTCCTAAATCTCCCAAAACAGTGAGAAATATGGTGCTTTGAAAGTGAAGTTTTAAAACCTCTCAGTAATCGTCCCCTTTTTATCCTAAGCAAAAGCTCTATTTTCTTGCTGTGAACCCTAAGTTCACTCCATGTATTTCATTGTCTAACCAAAATTAAATTATTGTTTCGTATGTGTGTTGAACTTGTAATCTTTGGCATCTGTGACTATTCAAATGTTTTAATTTACAGAAGTTTTCAGTCATTATTATATAGGGTTCTTAAATTATGTATATACAATTATACACTATATAATAGCGTACATAATACACTTACTCTTGAAAGATTTCTTTGTGAAATCTAGAATCTTGTAATGAGGATAATTTAAAAATTATTTAAAGTTGAGGTTATCAGAAAAACCTGGATTTATAGACTTATTTTGCTACTTGCTATTAATACAGGCTTGACTGGTTAGATTGTAAAGAAAGGCAGATAGGGAAAGATGTTTCTTTTGTGCACATTATAGTAACATGTTAATTCTTAGGAAACCCAGTAAAGTGGGTATTTTATCCTCATATTACTCACAGAGAACCTGAATCTTGGAGAATTGAGTAACTTTTCCTTTATAATAAATTAGGTGCGAAGTGAGTATCTTTGACTCCAAAGCTCATGGTTCTCACACCACACAAACTCTCTGGTTCATTTTCCTTCATTCTGGAATGGGAATGGAGATAACTAACGAGGGTGATAAATGATACAAGGTATGTGAAAATGTCTAATACATGGGCACACCCTACTGAATCTAACAATTCCTTAAAATACACTTTTAAAAGTTGTTTTTGTTACTACTATTGCCATTTCTTTTTAAAGCTGTCCTTAAATTTCTGTACAAAATGAGAAGTGTCTTCTGACCATATTTTAAGCTAGCATCCTCTCAGAGTGTACCTCAGTCTCAGAATGCACTTACAGGCCAAGCTTTAAAGAAGAATGTGAGGACCAGTAATAAATCTTTGAGAGAGCTAGAATGAGCATTTGTTTTTTCCTTTATCATATTTTACTGTCGAGTTTATTTAAGCTAAAATGGACATCTCTGGACTACATTTCTGCAGTTCAGAACACTTTTGAAGCAAAAGGAATTAGTCCTTCTTGTAGAAGGACTTGGATATACTGGAAGCTTTTATGCTCACAGTTGTGGTTTATTATAGAGAAAAGATACAGATTACAGACAGCCAAGGAAAGGAGTCTTTAGAGCTGCATCAGAGGAAGTATCAAATGCAGAAGGTCTGTTGTCCTCTCTCAGAGCCATGATGTTTTATTTCCTGGGAGTGATGTGTGACACTGTGCAGAATATTTCATGCTGAGCAGGAAATCCTTGTGCCTAGGGCTTTAACAAAACTTGATTACATGCTACTGTAAGATTTCTTTAAAATTGTTACAGGTTTGTTAGACTTAATCAGTTTTTGCAGAGAGGCATTCGTGAGGTCCAGTGTATTTGAGAAACTACCACATTTGTAGTATAAGCCAAATAATTTGTCAGTACTAGGTTAGGTAGTTGGTACATGTCTTGAATTTATTGCTGAGAGAGAGAGGCCTGGAGATAAGCCAAAGAGGGTGAATTTTTGGGCCATGTTGTATTATGAGTGTTTTTCATACTATCAAGTTTGATCATGTGCGCTCTACTTTTCCACATTAAAGATACTCATTTTTCTTAGTTTTAAATTCAGGCTTAGCCTCTAAAATGGTGGTAATAATTTTTTCCCATCACTATACAGTTCCTAATACTACTTTCTACTTTGAAATGCCCCTTCTTGCAGTAATAAATATTGAAAAGAAAGTGGCTTGCATGGTTACTTTAGAAATAGTAGTGACAACATGCCACCAATATTTTTATATCATCTTTTATTTTTAGGTCCACGGTTCAAAATCACACAAAATGAGCATATATGATGGCTTTCGACAGATGGTGAAAGAAGGAGGGATCCTCTCCCTCTGGAGAGGAAACGGTACCAATGTCATTAAAATTGCCCCAGAGACAGCTGTTAAATTCTATGCGTATGAACAGGTAATTGTTATCACCTGTGGGCTTATTAATATAGAGGCGTTAACAAACTGACTCATTAGCAGTTAATGTGCAGTATGTTCTTGTTATACATGATACTTTTCTACATATACTTGCGAGCAATTTATCCTTCAGGAGATTATTCACATGATGAAATTGTGAGATTCTGAATTTCACTTCACACTATAAAGAGACACTTCTGTGTTCTTGTCTAAGTAACCTTTCAAGGAAATGTAGAATTGTAGCTTATTAACTCATACTCATTTTGTTTTATTTCAAATTGATTTTTGATTGAGGGATTATTTTGTTCTTGAGCAGCTGAAAACTCTTGAGAAGATTACAAAGTCTAGTAGTTATCTTCTCCCCCCCCTTAGGAAATAGAAAAACAAAGGAAAAAATGGGAGAAAATTATCTTTTGGGACTTTAATTAGAGCCTATCTTTGAGAAGAATAGTTGAGAATTCAAGTCATTAACAAGGGCTAGCAGACTTTAGGTTGTCCTATGTTCTTGGATTTTATGATATGAAAACTAGAGAATAAAAATTAAAAAAATTCAATTATAAGTCATTATTTAAGTATGCTAGAAATCTGTTATTTTTGAAAGTCAATGTTATCGTGAACAAATTTGTGCACTGTACTTTGTTACTTGCCATTTGCCTGGGTACTGTCAGCAGGCATCCATCCAGTCAAGGTTCTTTTCTGAGCCCCTTTTGCAATATTCTCATTTTGTGTGCTAACTTTTATTAGAGATAGACAGAAAATGCTCTACATAACATAGTGAAGTGTTCCTAGTGTCTCTGTCTCTCCCATTATTTCTCTCCCCGCCACTGGCAGTCTGTGCATCCGTTAGGGCTCTGTGAAAGTATTTCCCAAGTAAAACCAATGCTCCCCTCCCCAGCTTCCTTAGACCTCTGAATTACAGACTCCAGCTTTCTGTTGAATAAAGAAGAGTTCAGAGACTTGTAGTTACTTTGAGATAAATATGATGCTATGTATACATATTTTTAAAGATTTATTTATGCATACAGAACTGGGGTACAGGCCAGAGGGGTGTGTGTGTGGGGGTGGGTTGAGAGGATTCATCAGAGGCAGAGTGGGGCGCAGAACAGGCAGATTGACTGAAACACACTGCTGAGGGGAGCAGCGGGCGGGTTGGGAGAGGTCTGCCGCGTCATGTGGGTCAGCTCCCTGGCCTGGGATGAAACTTGTGTTGCAGTGGCTTCGATAGCTTCATCATGCTGTGCTTTAACCTGTTGTGCCACCAAGGAGGGCACACTGTATATATTCTTAATTTTTCCCCTGTAAATAGCTAGCTCCCTTCTTGACAGGTCTTATTCTCGAATAGCTTAAAAGGCTAAGAAAAGTATTTTCAACCTGATATATAATGTTCAAAGCAGCGTATGGATGCGATCACATTAGGGATTACCACTTCCACATGAGAATTTGTAGGGGGATGCACAGTTCAGCCTCTGACATTTATCAGTATTTACTGAAAATTTTATTTATTAACAGTACAAGAAGTTGCTTACTGAAGAAGGACAGAAAATAGGAACCTTTGAGAGGTTTATTTCTGGTTCCATGGCTGGAGCAACTGCACAGACTTTCATTTACCCCATGGAGGTAAGGACCATTGAAGGTCTGACAGTGTTAGTTATGTTCACACTAATTATAAAGTGCTTTGTAATAAGTTACCCCAAAATTAGCACTTAGAAACAACACACATTGAATAACTCACAGTTTCTGTGGGGCAGAAATCTAGGAGTGACTTGGGTGGATGCGTGCCTCTGGCGCAGAATCCCGTCAAGGTATTAGCTAGGGCTGAAGTCCCTACAGGATTCACCTGGGGGTGGATCTGCTTCCAAGCGCCTCACAAATTTGTTGCTTCGCAGGCAGTTGGTCAGAGCATCACACAGCCTTTCCACTGGCTGCTTGGTCTCCCCACAACCTGGTGTCTGGTATCTCCCAGTCTGTGATTGAGCCCAAGTGAGCCCCTCAGGTGGAAGCTGCAGTCTTTGTCACTCTGCTGATTTCTGTTGGTCTGTACCCAGCAGGAGGGGACTCCAGGAGGCACGGGTGGTTGGGGGCCATCTTGGAGTTTAAAGATAGAGGAAGGCAAAGACAGTGTCATAGGTCTACAAAGACTAACGTATTTATTGTCTGGTCTTTGCAAAAGTAATTGTGCCAACTCCTCTTTTAGAGCAAAAACAATACACCAGATGAAAAAGGGATTTTCAATAACCGATAAGCAAGCTATGCCCTTAATTTTTACCATTGTGGTTTTCAAAGGTGACTTCCTTTGTAAACTTCTTAAAATGATTGTTCAGATTACCCCATATATTCTTTGAGAAAAGCCGAATTCAGACTGAGTCTTCATCTTCTTATCCTTCATCTCAGGCAATAGCCTCTTCCTGCCTGCTTCCCATCCTGTGTTCCAACTTAAAAACTCTGGAACCCTCCTCTATGCAGTCATTTCCCTCACTCCCATATCTAATCAGTCACCAGCCAGTTCAATAGATTGTTTTCTCTGCCACTGTCCTCTTTCAGGTTCTCTGTGTAATAACTAGGTCCCTTTGACTCTGATGGAAGCTCCTTCATAGAAATTTCACGAGGGAGAACACACGAGCCAGTTGGATTGTCCCTGGGGTGGAGTATGTCCTCGGTAAAATGACTTCTGAACTGCATGAGGAAAGCGTTAATATGAGCAGTAATATTTTGTTGTATCTTATAACCAGGTTTTGAAAACCAGGCTGGCTGTAGGTAAAACTGGCCAGTATTCTGGACTAGTCCATTGTGCCAAGAAGATTTTGAAACATGAAGGCGTGGGAGCTTTTTACAAAGGCTACATTCCCAATTTATTAGGCATCATACCTTATGCGGGCATAGATCTTGCTGTCTATGAGGTGAGTTAATGTCTTTTGAATCTGAAATGTCACTAAGTAGTTCTTATTAATCATTTGACTTTAAAGAAATACATGTATGCCAGAAAAAAGTTTGTAGCCAAAAATAGATGCAAGGGTGTGTTATTTGATCTTTCAAAAGTACCCAGAATATGAGACTCTGTTCGTAATCGTTTTTGTATTAGATTTCCCTGGGAATTATTTTTATTAATGAAGAGGGTGGACTTATATTAAGGTACAGCTTTTCAGCTTAGATGGTACTAGAGTTTCTGTTGTTTGGGGAAGAGAAAATAAGCAAAAATTTGGTCACATTTCCTTGATCACTAAAATTTGGTATTCCTCCTGACCAAGAGACTGATAAAGGTAGTAACCTCTAGATCCAGTGTCTGAGCCAGTGACTTGCATATAGATTCAGTGATTTAAATGGCAGAGTAGATCCAAGATTTGCATTCTAAGAAGTCTGTTTAGACCAAAGGATGAATCTTTGTCTCTTTTTCTTTTTGTCCGGGGACTCCCATAGTACATACCCTGTCTCATCTGATGGCTCCAGGAAGTCTCTCAGATTACTGTTACTGTTTGCTACATTTTTTCTTTGTACTTCTGTGCCTCTATAATTTTGTCCTGTTTTAATTTTTTTTTAAAGATTTATTTATTTATTCGTACAGAACTGGGGTACAGGCCAGAGATGTGGAGGGTGAGAGGATTCACCAGAGACAGAGCGGGGAGCAGAACAGGCAGATCTACGAAGTACACTGCTGAGGGGAGCAGCGAGCGGGTCAGGAGAGGTCTGCCACGCCATGTGGTCTCCTCCGGGGCAGGCGGGAATCGAACTCATGCGGAAGTGGCTTAAGGTTCTTTGTGCCGTGCTTTAACCCGCTGCGCCACCAGGGAGGGCCCTGTCCTGTTTTAATTTAATGGACTTTTGTTTCTGTCAAGTCTGTGGTCAAACACCCCTAAAATGAATTTTTCAGTTCAGTTATTATAGTCTTCAGCTCCAGAATGTATTTGGTTTTTAGACATAGTTTCTACGGCTTTGTTATTAACAATCTCATTTTGTTCATTATTTTCCTGATTTGATCTATTAACAATCTCATTTTGTTCATCATTTTCCTGATTTGATCTATTTGCTGTGGTCTCCTTAAGTATGCTTATGATGGTCAAAAATTCATATGCAGTCCACTACTTTCAAGTTTGTCTTCCTCAGGTTTAATTTGTTCCTTTGATTGGGTCCTGCTTCCTCGTTTCTTTATAAGACTTATTTTCTGTTGGGACTTGGCCATTTGGAAAACTGGCCACCTCTCCCTCTGTTTGTGATCTGGTTCCATTCAGGAAGGACTTTCACTAATCAGCCCAGCTAGAGATTCTAGATCTTCAGATGTTTCCGTGGATGCAGCCTCTCTCAGCAGTGTGTAATCTACATCTCAGTTGCTCTTCTGGTGTGGGCAGAGTGATTCTAAGGCTATAGCGCCCCTACTTTATTGTATTGCAGACTTCACCTTTGCATTCATCACTATTCTCAGAGTCCCCAACCTGGTGCCCCTTCCTTCCAGTGCTTAGATTCAGGTAAGATAGAAACCAGTCCTTCCTTGGACGGCCCCAGGGAAACTGAGGACATTGCACTTATGTTTCGCTCTTCCCTTTACCTTCCCAAGGAGAAGTTGGGACTTGCCAGTTTTCTTCTACTTGTGTTTCAGTGGTTGAAGGGGCTGCCCTGGAGAATAAGTGTTAGGAATTTCCTACTGGCTTTTGAGGTAGTTGACTTCATCCTTATCTGGATGTAGGAATCTTTTGTTTCCTGAATTTCTCAGAAAGGCGTATATATTTTTATTGGATCATTGTCTTCATTAGGGAAGAAGAATCTGGAATTTCCTATTGTACCATTTTGCTGATGTCACTGCTCCTTGAACTGAGCTTTGAAGGATGAAAAAGAGCAGATTAAAAAAAAAAAAGGGGGGGGTCCTCCCTGGTGGTGCAGCGGGTTAAAGCACTGCACTAAGAAGCTTAAGCCACTTCCTCATGAGTTCGATCCCCGCCTGCCCCGGAGGAGATCCACATGGCGTGGCAGACCTCTCCTGACCCGCCCACTGCTCCCCTCAGCACTGTACTTCATTGATCTGCCTGTTCTTCTCCCGAATCTGTCCCTGGTGAATCCTCTCACCCTCCGCATCTCTGGCCTATACCCCACTTCTGTATGAATAAATAAATAAATCTTAAAAACAAAAAAGGATCAGATTGGGGGAGAGTGCTGGCAGAGTGAGTAGTGTGTACAAAAACATGTAAGTAGAGTATACAAAGGGCGTGGGAATTGGGATAATACAGGTACTTCTGGTTCATGGTAAGATTCGACAGTGTTAGTGAAGAGGCTGGGAAATTTCTATGATACTGAAAAGCTTTGCATGCTGCGTGGAGGCTCCTATTCTAAAGATGGCAGACAGCTGTTAACGGACAAACAGGTGAAGGCCATAATTAGACTGATACTTTTGAAACTGTGTGTATAGCTATGTATCTGTATCTCTCCATATCTTATATTTCTGAATGTAGAGAATGAGAGAGAGAGATAATTTAGAGAATTCTGGAAGAAGACCAGATTTGGTTGGTGTGAGGTTATAAACTTGATCTTTTATAGTTAGTGTGAAATATTTCTAGAATATATAAATGGAGATACCCGTGGTTAGGTGGATATGTGTGGATTGGGAGATTGCAAAAACTTAGGGAAGGGCATAACTGAATTTATCAGGCACGTCATGTGGGGTTATTGGTGACTATACAAGAGCAACCCTAATGGGATGGTTTTGAAAAGCAGAGTGTAATAATGAGGACTCAGAATCAAGTGAAGGACCGATAAGGAAGGCAGCTGGTCCTGAGGAGACTTAGTGGAAGGGAAGGAGAAAAACAGCAGATGACATGGCCAACCTTCCTGAAGTGATAGAGCTTCAGCATATGTCTAAGTAGAAGGGCCCAGCACTAATAAAGAGAGGAGACAAGATAGTTAAAAGTTAGGACAGTTCAAAAATAATAAAAATAGAGACATCTGAGAATCAAGGAATGATAGTGGATCCTAGGAGGTAGAAGAACATGGATTATGGGGCAGAGAGTGAGGGCTCACAAGGTGCATATGCTTTATAGAATCAAATTTTTTTTTTCTTTTTAAGATTTATTTGTTTATGCATACAGAACTGGGGTACAGGCCAGAGGTGCAGGGGCGGTGAGAGGATTCACCAGAGACAGAGTGGGGAGCAGAACAGGCCGACTGATGAAGTACACTGCTGAGGGGAGCAGCGGGCGGGCCACCATGTGGGTCACCTAAGGGGTGGTCTGGGGATCGAACTCACTTTTAAGCGTCTGTGACCAGCTTGCAGTGCTGTGTCTCAACCTGTGCGCCACCAGGGAGGGCCCCAGAATTTTAAATTGTTTTAAGAGTACATTTTCTCCTCATTTCTTTCCTCCCATTCTGATTTTTTATGTTGCACTTGTACAACATTATATATGACTGAGAAGCATAGGGTCATGCCTGCCCAGATGCCTGTCACCCCAGCACTCCCAGTCCTCCTCCATCGTCCTTTGTGACTCCTCTGCACTTTGCTCTTCTCTCTCCCCCTCTCATAGTCTCCATTATAAGTCAGATTTCTAAGTTTTTAAATTGGTTTGTTTTATCCAACCTTTTGTTTTGTTTCCATATGTAAGTGAAACCATCCGGTATTTGTCTTCTTCCTTGTGGCTTACTTCACTTAGAGAACTCCCGTCCAGTTCCATCCATATTGTCACAGGAGTTCCTCTTTTTAACAGCGCGCCATTGTGTACATGTGCACCAGATCTTTCTAGTCTACTTAAGTGTCCCTGGGCCTTAAGGTTGCTTCCATAAGTTGACTACTGTAAACAGCTGCATTGACATGGTGCATCTGGCCCCTCAAATTTGTATTCTTGCATTCTTCAGGTAGATACCTAGGTGTGTTGGGTCATACAGTAGGTCTTTTTGTTTTTTGTTTAATATTTATTTATACATAGAGAACTGGGGTCCAGGCCAGAGGTCTAGGGGCAGTGAGAGGATTCAACAGAGACAGAGCAGGGAGCAGAACAGGCCAAGTACACTGCTGAGGGGAGCAGTGGGCAGGTCAGGAGAGGTCTGCTGCGCCACGTGGGTCACCTCGGGCTGGGATCGAACCAACACTGAAGCGGCTGAGGCCAGCTTGCAGTGCTGCGTCCTAACCCGTCGTGCCACCAGGGAGGGCCCAGTAGATCTATTTTTAATAAGCTGGGAAATCTCTATATTGTTTTCTGTAGGGACTGGATCTCCCTACGTTCCCCCAGCAGGGTATGAAAGTTCCCTTTTCTCACATTCTCAGCAACACAAGTTGTTTCTGGCCTTTTGGATTGGGGCCATTCTGTGAGGTGGTATTTCATTGCGGTTTTGACTTGCGTTTTCCTGATAAGTGACGATGAGCATTTTTTCATGTGCTTGTTGCTGTTTATAAGTTTTCTTTGGGGAATACCTGTATAACTCTTCTGCCCATTTCTTGATTGGGTTCTTGTTTTCTTTTTGTTGAGTTGTATGTGTTCTGTATGTACCTGGGATATCAGCCCTTTGTCAGGTGTATGATGTGTGTTTTCTTCCATTCAGATGGGTGCCTTTTGAAAATTTTAAAATCATATTTCTTATTTTTTTATATCATTCATTCTTCATCTTGTGCATTTTTTCCATCTCAGTTGTAAAATCCCCATGGGGTGTGTGCCTTTTTATTTTAATGGTAATTTCTTTTGCTTTGTCCTGACCTCAGTAGCGTAGGTAGTTTGCTAGTGTTACTGAGTCACTTCTATTTTCTCATTTTCATGGTTTAGACATGTTTGTCTATAGCCTTCATGGCTTTATTTATCATCATGCTATCATGCTGAATGGTCATCTACAAATAATAAATTATGGGAAAAAAGTAAGTGAACATAAAATAAGCCACTTGAATCGAATTCTTCACATTTATTGTGCTATTTTTATGTAACGGTAAGGGCTAATTTGCAGTTAACCTTTAAAAATGTAAGCTTGTTATATAATTAATGCCACATTCATATATTTTTTTATACTTAAACTATTTCATATTTAGAAAGTAGATCGGAATATATATTTTATATAATTTCTCAACGATTGCCTTCTAGTGGAAATAAACGTGGCCTGGGGATCAAATCCACACACTGATTCTTCACCTTCATTTGAAAAACCTCTACTGAGAATAATTTTCCCCATTTATAAAATCAGAGGAATAGTTCTCAGAGCTGTTGTAGGATTAAATGAAAGTACAAAATGAGAAGTAATTAGTAGGAGGTTATTTCATTAATGTTGTAGGACATGTCCTTTAGTGTGGGAACATTTAGTGTGCAATTGATCTTTACGTGTCTTTAGGAGAAAATGAGCAAGCCATGCAGACCTCACAGTTCTGACTCCTACCTCTCCACAGAGCTCCGCAGCCACCACAGAAAATGCACCAGATGTGGGGGGTCTCTCATAAGGGGGTCTCTCATAAGGGTGGGGGGAGCTAGGAAAATACTCATGCTGAGTGCAGGCAGTTACACAGTTCTCGATTATTTTCTTTTGCAGCTCTTGAAGTCCTATTGGCTAGATAATTTTGCCAAAGACTCTGTCAACCCCGGAGTTGTGGTATTACTGGGGTGCGGTGCCTTATCCAGCACCTGTGGTCAGCTGGCCAGCTACCCCTTGGCTTTGGTGAGGACTCGCATGCAGGCTCAAGGTGAGTTTTTGATGAAATGAGAACATGGTTAAAAATACTTCGTCAGTGGGCCCTCCCTGGTGGCGCAGCGGGTTTAACCACAGCACTAAGAAGCTAAAGACACTCGGAGCACCATTTCTATCCTCACCCCGGAAGTCACCCACATGTCTCGGCAGACTTCTTTTTCTCCTGACCTGCCCGCTGCTCCTCTCAGCAGTGTACTTTGTCGATCTGCCTGCCCTGCTCCCCACTTCGTCTCTGGTGAAGCCGCTCACCGCCCCTGCACTTCTGGCCTGTGCCCCATCTCTGTATGCACAAATAAATAAATCTTAAACCACACACACACACACACACACACGCACTTATCAGTTATCTGTGTTGTGAACTTTTCAAGCAGAGTATGGTTTTAAGAAGTATTTATTAACTTTTTTTTGTCTCCCTAAGGAAAATTTTCCTTCAGAAAGTTTTTCCTAATCATGAGTCTTGATGAAATTTTTTTTTTTAAGATTTATTTATTTATTTGTGCATACAGAACTGGGGTACAGGCCAGAGGCTCAGGGGCGGTGAGAGGCTTCACCAGAGACAGAGTGGGGAGCAGAACAGGCAGATCGACGAAGTACACTGCTGAGGGAAGCAGCGGGCGGGTCAGGAGAGGTCTGGCTCGCCATGTGGTCTCCTCCGGGGCAGGAGGCAGGCGGGAATCGAACTCATGCGGAAGTGGCTTCAGATTCTCAGTGCTGTGCTTTAACCCGCTGCGCCACCAGGGAGGGCCGAGTCTTGATGAAATTTTAACTGTATCCTGTGCATATCTGTGTTTTTCACGAGCAGGTGGTATTTGTCCATGTTGTGAATGCGTATTTTCAGAGTATAGATGGAGGGCCTTCCTGGTGGCCTAGGTTAAGTCTCAGTGCTATCACCTCCACAGCCTGAGTTCAATCCCCAGCCCAGGGAAGTGACCCCCATGGCACAGCAGACCCCTCGTGTCTCTGCTGCTCACCTTGGCGGTGTGTTTTAGTTAGATCTGCCTGTTCAGCTCCCCACTTGGTCTCTCACCTCCTGCACCTTTGGCCTGAACCTCAGTTCACCTTTGCAAAAGTATAAAAAAAGAGTCTAGATACATTTGGGTTCAGATGCTTTCCCTAACTCTGGATTTTCAATTTCTCATCTGTAAATGAAAACATCTGTACAGTGTTGTAAGAGTATGTGTAAAGCCCTTTATATTAAGTTCTTGGTAAAGGGTGGTAGGAATTGTTGTTATTATTGAACTAGAACCTTTGAACTGGGATCCTTCCCCTCTGTGACACTGTTCCTTCGGCTGTGATTACAGGGTGCCTTCCTGGTTATTTCACATCTCTCTCATCCTCTCTCCTTATTTGCTGACTGCTGTTGCTTTTCTTTTTCTCTTCTGCTCTTTTGCCGACCTTGGCAGCCCATTTCTTTAAAAAGTACAGTGATAGTTCAGCTCTATCCTCATCCTCTCCCAGGTACCAACCACCCTTCCCCCAACATACATTTATATTCTTTTTTACACTACTTGTAGTTAGGAGGATAATGATTTGTAGTAATAATAACACATACCCTAGAATTTTTAACTTAACTTGGCTACTCTTTTTGTAATTTTTTAGCTATGGTAGAAGGAGCCCCGCAGCTGAATATGGTTGGCCTCTTTCAGCGAATAATTTCCAAAGAAGGAGTGGCAGGACTGTACCGAGGCATCACTCCAAACTTCATGAAAGTGATCCCTGCTGTGGGCATCAGCTATGTGGCTTATGAAAATATGAAACGAACTTTAGGAGTAACCCAGAAATAACATGTTGATTGTATTGCGTTAACATTGATGATCAAAATTTTCAACACTTGCAAACGTGACTTTTTTTTCCAGAATTGTAACAAGCCTATGGCTAAGGAAACTGTCTTTTTTTCACAAAAGGGAGGAGAATATCAATGATCACTTCAGATTTTGAACTTGATTTTATATGTATATATATAATGATAAAAATAATGGTTTTGATATTTCATACAATTTTGGAAAGGTCACATGGTTGATTTTTATTTCTTACTAGTCCTTTTATAAATCTCTGCCTTTGAACAATAAATCTGGAAACATTTGCTTGAACTAAACTTGTTTTGTGTGGAGCATTGTAAATCGTCCATCTTTATTTTGATGGACGTATATGAGTTCCTTTATACTTCACTGTCTTTTTCTTGAAAACCAAATGAACAGAAAGCTTTGAAACTTAAATTTTTAGGTATCTTTGAATGTCTCTTTAGACTTTTAAAAATTTCCTTCTACAACTGTTAATTAGAAAACCACTGAGTGAAAATATACCTTGTAGCTGTCAAGTAAATTTAGGAATTACAGCTTTTCTTTAAGTGGAATAAGAATGAAACTAAGTGACAGGATTTCAAGGCATTTGAACACTCTAATCTGTTTTGTTTTGTGTAAGAATGTTTATTTCAGTGGACACTACTCCATCCTGACTGTTAGTGCTTGGTTCCCGGGAAGGTGCCAGTTATCAGTATTCTTCTGTGAAATGGCCGATGCAGGTCGCTCATTTGAAGGATTCTGTCATTGCTTTGAAAGGCACCAGAAAACAAAACCCTTTTGCTTCTGTCATTTTCTGAAGTGCACTTCCCTTTTCTTTGTCTTTTGATTTCTAATAATTCCTGTTATAATTTACTGACACTCAAGTGAAAACTCAGTGACATAATAGGAATTCATTTAAATCTACCTCTTCTGTTTTCTGAACCAAAGACAAAGATTGGTCTCCTGTCTGTGACCCATACTCTTAAAAAGTTGTTTTCATTAGATTAGTTAAGTTTGGTGAAAAGATTCCTTATTTTATAATGCGTCTGATGGGTGTGGGACTCAACTCTATCGTCAGTGATTTTTGTACTTTTGAACACATAAAGGACAATGTTAAGGTAGATGATTAGCTCTTTCTTTTTTACTCAAATTGTGGAATGAATAACTGCAGTTCAAGCTACTGAAAAATACTTGGGTGTTCATTATGAATTTGTTTGCTACTTAACATTTGTAAGGCATGAATGTGATTTATCTGCGCATCTTGTATTTTTTAATAAAATGATCTTGAAAAAAGTCTGATTAGTTGAAGATAGTTTTTCCTGATAGCACATTTCCTTTCCATTTCTATTAAAAATGTGCTTGTTTTTGAAATGGCTTATTTCTTGTTTTAAGAAAACAGTGTTCGGCAGTGCTGGTGTTGTACGTCTTCTATTATTGGCAGAAGTTTGAACCACACTTTTCGCATCTGGTTCCGTAAAGTCTTTCCAAATACTACACCTTCCCTGATCAACCACAGCATCTATTATATCTGTCACACATTCTGGCATAAAGTGATGTTTCTCATAATGCCCAAATCTTAACATTTAGCCTTTGGGGTTACTCCCTGGGGATTCAGTGCTAAGGCGAATCTCAAATCACCGTGTTTCTTGGCACAGCTTGGTGGACTAACGGCTTGACCTGACATTATGGGAAACACAAGCTAAGTAAGTTGCTGGTAAGGTAAAATTTATGGTTTGGGTTAAAGTACAAAATTTGATTAAAAAAAAAAAATACTGTTGGCCCTCCCTGGTGGCGCAGCGGGTTAAAGCACAGCACTGAGAATCTGAAGCCACTTCCGCATGAGTTCGATTCCCGCCTGCCCCGGAGGAGACCACATGGTGAGCCAGACCTCTCCTGACCCGCCCGCTGCTCCCCTCAGCAGTGTGTTTCGTAGATCTGCCTGTTCCGCTCCCCACTCTGTCTCTGGTGAAGCCTCTCACCGCCCCTGAGCCTCTGGCCTGTACCCCAGTTCTGGATGCACAAATAAATTTTGGAAGACTGCAAAGAAAATCTGCATTCCACTGGCATGCCACCCGGTTCAGCCCTGAGAAACCCCGGCGTAGAATCCCTGTCAGATCTCTCTGCCCGTCTGTCTTACATCCCTGTTAACAGCAGGCTTCGTTACTGTAGTTTACACGAACTTGTTTTTTTGATCTTTTCATCATCCCTGAAGTGACGTGGCTTCCTTTTGTCCAAACAGGGATGGCGCAATGCCTTTCATTGGCTTAGAATTTTTTCTTGTATTTTTCTGGAAAATAATGATTTTTGTGGAGGGAGCAACTAGCAGCCTCTTCCCCTCCTTTGCCATCTTCTGTGGGGGACAAGTGTGTCCTGGACTGGATCTGCACAGCGCTCGCGGGAGTGCACCCCAGCACCCCTCCCATGGTCTGCGGGACAGTTGTGCTGATATCCAGCTGCCCTGGATACAGCCTCTACGGGTGCTCGCAGGTGGTTTACTTAGATTTTTCGTCCCAGCAGGAACAGCGTCCCCGGCTATCCAGTCCTATACGTGCACTGGCCACAGTCACTCCAGCTTTGTGGGCTACGAAAGCTGAAGCCCCCCCACACGGGGCTCACCTGGCATTTACCCCATAGGCAGCACATCCATTTACACAATTCTAAAACAACTGCATTCCTGATACTTTCAGCGTCTGAGGAGGCTGTATTAGGCAAAGAACAAAGAAGTCGGCACCTTTCCTGATGGAGATCACCTAGTGGGGGGGAGAGAACTGCCTCGCCAGCACGACAGCAGAGATGCAGAGATGGTCTGAGCGAAGGAAGGACGTCAGGATTAAAGCACACACTTCTTGATCAGCAAGCAAAGGCACACTTTATCTTTCTCTCCTTCCCTATTTATACCCTTCAGCATGGAGCCTGGGGCTGGGGGTTGGCGGAAGCTCTCAGCAAGTGCATCAATAACATGCGACAATAACATGGGGGTCAAAGAACAGTCACGTAAACACAAGGTAGCAAACACAAGGCAGGAACACTTCCTGCCTCCTGTTTTTCTATTCCAGCACCCATGGCTCATTCTTTGTTTCCACACAACAGTGTGCATATGATTCTGTGGGGGAGGTGGGGAGCTCTGTCCAGGCAAAGGACCCAACAAGAACAGGCAAGTAAAATCTGCCATACAGCAGGTGATGATCAGAGCGGAAGGCTCAGGTCGTGCTTGCTGGGAAGGTGCTTGGGGAAGGGGCCAGGCAGTCTCTGAGGGGCAATCTAAACCCGAGATGCAGGAAAGGTTGCAGGTGGGGGAATTGCAAGGAGCTCAGTGCCGCTGGAGAGGAGGGAGCAAGTGCTGGAGCAGGAGAGGCCACAGAGGCGGGAGAGGGGAGTGCCGAACCAGGTGTTGCCACTCCTGTTTCCAGCTCCACAGTAGCCGGAGGAGCCAGGTATGTCTCCAAGATTCAACTGTCTTCCCTCCAGGGGTGGGGTCTTCACCACTGGCCGCGTCATCGTTAAACACTGCAGTTTCTGGCAGCCCCACGTTCTGTCACTCAGAATGGTGTCTCTTCTGCTCAGCCTATTCCCTGGGCATCCTGCTGTTGGTTACTAGGCCTCTCCCTCTGCAGGGAGAGTTGATTTTTTAAAAAGATGTATTTATTTATGCATACAAGAACGGGCGCAGGCCACCAGAGACAGTGGGGAGCAGAAAGTTGTATCTACTGAAATACATGGCTGTGGGGAGCAGCAGGCGGGACAGGAGAGGACACATGGGTCAGCTGGCAGGTGCATAGGGCTGGCAGAGTTTGACAGCACTGTCTTTGACCCCTGTGCCACCAGAGAGACCCTGAGAATCTTGATGTTTAAAAAGAGATAGGAACGTAGAGACCTCAAAATGTTCCCAGACATTTTTCTAAAAATGGCAGAAATTTAGTCTCATCCCACAAGGTAACAGGTGTTCTCACTTCCTCCTTTGACCACCTGCGTCTGCCTGGGAGTTGTTTGGTTTTATTTCACACAAATTATACAATACTGGAAACCATCGTTTTAGTTGTTGAGAGTTAATTCTGTCTGTTGAAAATTCACTTCTAGAGTCAACAGTCACAGAGGCATTGTATGGGGGTGATATCACCCCATAATGAAATATTTCAAAGCATTTTAATATGCTCTTTTAATTCTAAACTTCTCATAGGTATTTGCTATTTGCTAATGGGCCATGATGCCCTGGTTTGCACCTGCCTTTTTCACAAGGCTTCTCTAGAACAGTCACAACTAGGTGTGCAGACGGATTAGCCTAAACTCCAGAAACCATATTCAATGTCACCTGCAGATAAACAGTACTCATCCTCCAAGGAGGTTCCCACATGAAAAGTGCATTGGGGATGTGCAAAAAACAATGACACTTAAATTTTTTTCTTAAATCAATTTTAATCCAACTAGAAATCCTACTACCAGGATGTGGCAGTGAGCTGGGGTCTTGGTCCCCCCAGATCTTGGTCATGTGCCACCAGTCATTGCTAAGGGGTGCAGTATTGTGATTTATAAATACATATATACACTTTATTGTACAGAAACATCCACATTTATTATATATTTATGTATCTTAGATACATATAAATATACACGTATAGATGCATTTGGTTATGCAGATGACCCAAGTACATTTCTCACATACATTAATCCTCATTCTGCAGTTCCTGGCTCACAGACCCCCCAAAGCCTTAGGATTTCCTTAGTGGTGAGTGTCATAATTTTGTCTTATTATTCCAAGTGGGTTTAGGTGAATGAAATGGGTTGTCATTCACTTTTGGAAAGTGGGTTGTCAGGAGAATCAATCCTGTGATAAGAGGGTTGGAACTCTGGATCTACTCTGCAGACCTCTGGGGAGGGCAGAAGGACTCGAGGTCAAGTGAAATTTGACCATGGGTCAGTGGCCAATGATCAATAATTTAGTCAATCATGACTAAGTAATGAAGTCTCCATGAAAATCCGAAAGGAGAAGCTTGGGGTGGGGTGGGGGGGAAGGAGGCTTCTGGGTTGTTGAGCATGGGAAGATCTTGGGGAGAATGGTGTGCCTGGGAAGGGAATGGAAGTTTCTTATCCTTTCCTCATACCTGATGCATCTCTACTAAATTGGCTGTTTCTGAAACCCTATTATAATAAATTGGTGATCTAGTGAGACAGTCAGCTTTCTTAGTTCTGTTAATTAAACCAAGGCGAAGACCCAGGAGCATTTCCTGATTCCTACGGCCAGTGGTTCAGAAGCATAAGGAATAGGCAGCCTGGGCGTGTAAGTGCCTCGGAAGTGGACCGAGCCTTGCGGTCCCAACACCAGAGACTCCTCTTGTGCGCAATGGCCATGTGCGCCATGTTCCACTAGGTGGCAGCCTTCTCCCAGGGCTGCCGGCGGCCGGCGCTTGCCCCAGCTCCTAGCTCCTCCCTTTGCCTGGGTCTGGAAAATCACTGGGTCGCCCTGGGCCAGGTTTAGAATTCTTGCACAAACCATCATTACCTTGTTTAGAGGAAGGAAGGTAGGGCTGTCTGTGACCACTCCAGGAGAGAAGATGTCAAAGAAGGTCCTTTATATGCAACACAGAAGAGAAAGGCTTGTTTTACTGAGGACACATGTTAAAACAATTTTTCAAAAATAGAAGAACTCCATGCTTTACAAATCAAATTAGAAATGATTGAAGATGACCAATTTTGTACCTGTGTATGTCATAGTTAAGTAGATATGAACAATATGCCCAGAGAAGATATTTTGGGGTATTTGTTTTCACAGTACAAGGAATATTTTTTCATTTGCTTAAATTATTTTGAGGTGTAAACTAATAATTCAAGCTTGAAGTGGGAAGAGTGGCAAAATAGGCCTAAAAATAAAGCAAACAAGTAAAATGTGCCACAAAATTTAGTAAACTCCACTCTCAGAGATTTTATTTTTTTTACAAGAAGTTGTTTTTGTAACTGGTCTGGTACTCTAACATGTTTTAAGAGAAATATAATTTAGGTTTTAGGTTAAAATAAGTCTGCTTTGGTATATTCCTGGAATAATAAAGCATCAGTGGAAGAAATTAATAAGAAAATCATGCGGCTCAATATTTTTGGATTAATCCAGTGTCTTTTAATTCCAGGAAATAGGTTTTTTAATACTCATTAAAAAAAAGATTTATTTATACATACAAGAACTGGGGTACAGGCCAGAGGTGCAGGGGGTGAGAGAATTCACCCGAGACAGAGTGGGGAGCAGAACAGGCAGATCGACTGAAACACACTGCTGAGGGGAGCAGCCGGGAGACAGGAGAGGTCTGC